AATCTTTCTATTTTTAAAGGACACAAGGTGGTAGTCAGTCTCCGGCAGACTCCAAATTTGTATAACATGTAGTGTACTTAATTGTAAATCGTTTGACACAAAACTAAAATTTATTTTATCGCTGTTTTTTTAAATACATAATTATTATAATTTAAAATGACATAGTTGTTTGATTAGCAATGGACAAGTTTTTTTTGTAATGTTTGTTGCCAACGCATCAAATATATTCTATTGAATAGTTAATCAAATCGTTAATCGCATTCATTTGTGAGTATTGAATTTCAAGAAAAATCTATAAAAAAATGCTGTAATAATTTCACTTATATTTCACGAATATCGGATATGACCGGACTGATTCACATTTAACAGTGATAGAGTTCACTTTAATAAACTGCTATAGACAAAAAATATGACGTTACTTATGACAGGGTGGCCAGCATACTTAAATTGTTCAATTTACAACACGATTTAAAATTTATCGGAAGTAAATAAAAAAATATAAATATCTGTACCTGTTGGGGACCCGATTTCATGATTATTATGGTCCGAAATGGTCCCGTTAAATGTATAAAATAAAAGAAAATGGTAGCTACATAAAAAGAAAATGTATTTGTAACTCCACAAACTATTCACACAGTAAAATTGATAAATTGACAAGTATGTTATTCATTCATTGAATAGCAACCTCAACAGTACCTTTAGCACGAACCACTATCGAATTCGTAACGTTTGCGAGTCCGATATGTTATTGTCAAATGTGTAGGTACTGATTTTTAGTTCTCTAAAATTTTCATACAAAATTTGACATTGACATTTAGCCAGTGGCGGACTAACAGGGGGGCGGAAGGGGCGGCCCGCCCCGGGCCTCCAGTCCCCAAATGCCTCCGCGTTGCCCTGATCAAATCCTAAACAAGTCTTTAAAAATGTGCTTCGTACCTACATAATTTCATCAGGACCAAAACACTACAGCCATCTAATCAGCCATCAGCGGTACTAATATACTTTTAACCTTGCTGAACGCGTCCAATACGTTGGGGGAATTCCCGTCATTGTAGCGGGTATTTCTTCAGGAATCCTTGAATGAATGAAGTGCAAATAATTTACTCTTGTACGCCTACATTTACATTCACTACATTATATTTACGTCGAAAAATAAACATTGGCCTCATTTAAAATATATGTATTAAATATCATTACGTTGATATTTAATAGTTAATTAGTAACCGATATTTTCATGAACGAATAAGCCTTTTTTCAAATTGTAAAGTAATTAAAAAGGGGACGTTATTTCCCCGAAATTGTTCACTAATGCAATGGAGGATATATTCAAGACGCTGAACTGGAAAGGACGTGGCATCAACATAAATGGCGAACGCATCTCTCACTTGCGATTTGCAGACGACATCGTCATCATGGCAGAAACCATCCAGGACCTACAAAAAATGCTGAATGACCTGGCTGACTCTTCTATACGCATCGGCCTACGGATGAACTTGGATAAAACCAAGGTCATGTTCAACTCGAAGCCGTTCAAAAATATGTATACCTCGGGCAGTCATTGCAATTAGGTAGAAACAACTTTGAGGTAGAGGTGAATAGAAGAATTCAGCTAGGTTGGCCAGCGTTTGGGAAGCTACGTCAAATCCTGACATCGTCGATCCCACAGTGCCAAAAAACGAAAAGTCTTCAATCAGTGCGTCCTACCTGTGATGACATACGGAGCCGAGACGTGGACACTAACGGTACAGCTGGTCTACAAGTTCAAAGTCACTCAGCGCGCTATGGAAAGGGCTATGCTCGGCGTTTCTCTGAAGGATCGCATCAGAAATGAGGTAATACGACAGAGAACTAGAGTTATCGACATAGCGCACTGGATTAGCAAGTTGAAGTGGTAGTGGGCTGGCCATATTTGCCGCAGAACCTATAACCGTTGGGGTAGATGAGTTCTGGAGTGGAGACCGCGTCTAGGCAAACGTAGTATAGGACGTCCTCAGGCACGATGGAGTGACGATTTGCGCAAGGTGGCTGGCAGGAGCTGGATGCGAGTAGCCCAAAATCGATCTGAGTAGCGTGCAATTGGAGAGGCCTATGTCCAACAGTGGACTAGGATAGGCTGTTGATGAAACGCGATCTAATCCGTTTAAAGTAATTTCATTAAAAAGTGTTATAGTGTTTTTGATTTTTGTTGCGGTATAAAAGTAAATGAGTTCAGAGTTGAGTTAGTGCATTTTCAAGTATTTGAAAAAAGTTAATAATTCTTCGTATAAAATAGCCTACAAATTATAATTCGTAGTTTCTAGTCAATATGCACCTACGAGTACATTGCTTTAGTTCTTGCATTTCGCGGGTGGTCCTTATTTTATTTGTAGTACACGTTTATTAGGGACGTAGTTATGTGCTTGTTCTCATCGTGAGTCTCAACACGGCAAAGTCTCTGTACATTTGTATATCGAAACCTAAACTAATTGAAAATTATCTTCGATCTACAATGGGTCAAGAGCGACTGGTTTACCTTGCCGTGCTTTCAATAGAAAAAAAAATCCAAAAAAATAGATTTCAAAGAAGTTATTGACGAGTTCAGTAAATTGAAGGATCGAAAACACATATATCACCCTACAAAAAATAAGAAAACTATCTTTGATTTATTTAATTTTTTTTGTCGTTCGATATCGTATTTCATTTTTCTCACCCATATCCATTCCATATTGTAGGTATGTATGTTGATAACCGAAATAATTTTATTCAAATTTAAATTTTACTTTCCTGATGTTAACAAAACCTTTCTGATGTTAACAAAATAAACATAAAAAACTATTTTTTTAAAACTTTTTAAAGCTGGGGGCCTCATTCATCTTTGCCGCCCCGGGCCTCTGACGGGCTTAGTCCGCCACTGCATTTAGCACTCGCGAACTATTCGAATTCGATAATAGTTAGTGCTAAGGGTGTTCTACAATCTATTCGACTTCGATATTGGTTCGGACTAAGGGTACTCTGTTCATGTTATTACATAGAACAAGCTTTCAAAATGATATATGTGACGCTGGCGATATCCGACTTCCACTTTTGAACCATCTCATTTGAATTCAAGCAATAAAATAACATTAAACTATATTATTTATTAGGTACACCAATAGCCAATACGTTAATTCACGAGTACCTTGGAATTTTCTTATGATTCTCTCATATATATCTCGGCAAACTTGTTGAACAAAGACCATAGCCTGCGCAGTAGCAATTTTACTTACAAAAACATCTCCTGCGCAAGTTTATTTGTCTGTAGTTTTGCTCCACAAGTTTGCCGTGAATTCATACCTTAGCCTACAATAAAAGAAAATCCAAATGCGTTACATATGGCGGCCAAGCGTAATCACACTAATAATATAAAGGCAAAAGTTAGTGAATGTGTGAGTGTGTATGTTTGTTACTTCTTCACGTCTAAACGGCTGGACCGATTTAAAAAAAAATGGAATGGAGTTAAAAGACACCCTGGATTAACACATAGGAAAATATCCCTAATAAACAGCGGGTAAAACCGCAGGACTCAGCTAGTAGAAGATAATCAAAAGAGATACATCAATATTTTCTCTATAATTTTAATTTATTAATAGGTACGTTTAATTGTGTTGTTTACGAGTTTCATTCATCATTTATTAGACGCATTATGAATACGTCGGATCTGGAAGCTCATTTATGTTTTAATAGTTACAACGCAAATGATAAACGCAGCTAAAGTGATACACGTGCGAACGTGTCATACAACATTTTTAAATGTATTTAGCGAGGAAATAAAATAAAACAATTAGGTACCTAAATTTTTTTTTTTCCTGAATCCGAACTTGATATCAGATCTAATTATGGAAATTTCCGAGGTCCAGGTATGATGGCAGACGAGTCATGGAGAGGGGACCGCGTAGTGTAGGAATTCCTGCGACTAGAGGGAGCGACGACATCCGAAAAGCATTAAGCAATGAATGGATGAGAAGTGCTGAAGATCGAGCCTACTGAGCTCGTGCCATAAGAGAGGCCTTTGTTCAACAGTGGACTGATGTGGGCTAGTGATGGGGAATAGGGGGGTATGGGTTGCCTGTACCAAAAAAAGTTCAAAATTTTTTTGCGGTCCACCCAGGGGACTCCCTTGGGGAGAAGGGTCAGGGTTACCTTAAAAATAATTTTCTAAATACGAATTTTATCATCATCATCAGCCTATTAATGTCCCCGCTGCTGGGGCACAGGCCTCCCTTATGGATGGAATAGGGATATTGGGCTTTGACCCACCCCGCGGGCCCAGCGCGGATTGGTGGCTGCTAACGACTGCAGATGCAGCCGGGACCAACGGCTTAACTTGCCTTCCGAACGTTAAGCACGGAGGAGCTCAAGATAATAATTTTTGGTCACCCATCCAGAAATAACAAAATGAAATCGTGAGCTATAGCGAAAACCATAGCAATATCGTTAGGCGATTGGTGTAAAGAAATAAATAACAAACAAAAAAATGTTTTAAGTATGCAACATTTTTATTTTTCCACTCTCAAAAAGCATTGATGATTACAATATTATTGAGTAAGTATACATTTTTAGTTTACAGATTTTTGCCTATGATTCCCAATTAAAACATAATATAATTTATACTATTTATTTATGTTTATGTACATACAAAATTCAAATATGACCGCAAGTAGACGAAAACTAGCTATTACTGTAAAACCATATTTTTTTCAGATGTGGAGAAAAACAGGTAACATGCTCCATATCATTCAATAAAAATAGCAACGGTATTTACAAAAATACTAGATAGGCACTATGTCGTTATACTCACAAAGTATACTTAAATCATAATTATGTTTCAGACATAAAATACAGTTGGATTAATTGGAACAGCTCAAACACAAGGATTTGCTTGTAATTACAGTAAAATACAATATACTTTTTAGTAAAGTAGGTACTTTTCAAGTTATTATAATAGAAATTAAATTTAATTATAATCTCTGTTTGCGGTCGTAAAAACGTTAAGGGTTTGTACATATGAGTATCTATGCTTTTATGTCTTCTTTCTTATCTTCTTTGATATTATTTTTATCTCCGGAGGCCGCATCAAGCAGTTCGATGGCTTCAAAGACCCACTTGTAATTCATAGCACCGAAACCCTGTGTATCGAAAGCAATAGATTTAAAGAAGGTTTTACTATAAAAAAAAAAAACACTCGGCCCTGACATCAGATAATATTTGGTCTGGTAAAGTCCTCAAAAAAAAAAGCACTGTATCCTTGTCATTCTCTATGCAGAATGAAAAGGAGAGACTGATATTAACAGACTCGTCTTTCCCAGTGGGCACTTTGGGCAAGTGCCCAGGGCCCCTGCGATCGGTAGGGGGCCCCCTCAGATCAAATACAAAGTCCCTAGCTCCTGTTAAATCACCAAACGGAAGTCATAGGGGCCCTTATATGCCCAAGGCCTCCACTCCTAGGTCAAAGACGGCACTGGCTATTAAATTTAGTTTTAAGTTTAGATAATCATGCCAGAATAGACATCAATATCTAATTTTATATTGTTATTTTAATCATTCAACGGCTAGATTTATAAATAAAAATAAAAAAAATGGGTGCGTGTACTTATGTAGGCGCGTGAGAAGTTATCCTTCTTTGGCATCGTTTAAAATTAGTTTTTAATTGCATGCAAATAATTAATTACAATAAATTAATAAAAATTCTGGAAAAGGACACAGTCAATAAAGTTCAGTTTTAATTTGAAAAAATAAATAAATAATCAAAATATTCAATTAAAATCGCTACTGAATATAATTTATTAGAACATATGTGATTTGCACTTGTATGAAACTCAAACACGTATTCCGAATATACAAACTAGAAACATGTGGATCAATATTATAAATATGAATACCTATAACTGTTACTTTATTACAAAAAATAAAGATGTGGTTTTTGGTTCTACTACACCAATGGTCAAGAGATGGCGCTGTAGTCTCCTGAATCGCGCTTTGGTTCCGTTGTTCCAGATTAATAAATACTTTTGATAGGCCTTCACAATGCAGTCGTTAGCACCCACTAAATAGAGATTCTATTTTGTTGGTAGATTTTCTTAATGTGCGGTAAACACAAAAGTAACGCATTTCACTCTCATCATTTTTTCATAACGCGCCTAAAGAAGTATAACTTCAACAAAATTTTACCAGAACAAATATTGACGCGTGCGTACCAGCGCGCACGCTGTACAAAGAAACATTATTAAGTTTTCTGATCTTTGTACAAATAAGATAACTCTATCCCCCTCATTAATAAACGTGGAATAAGCTTAGACTAGTTACGCCTTGTTTTGCCCCCCCACGACAACGGCTAACTAGAGCCGAGATCCGAGTCACAGAGACACCCTCTAGTTGAGCCGACCCCCTCAGGTTCGAGTGGTCTAGAGGCTCCAGACGGAGAGGAGACTCCCCCAGTAGGGAGACGCCATCCGCCTGGAATACCTCTAGAGGCACTCGCCAATTCTCGGCTGGAGGTCCCCTTAGGATCTCGCCGTTCCCAAACCCGGTGACGCTGTAAAAGTCATCTGCGACCAACAGCATACACACTCAAAAAAAAGCGTTGTTTTATTTATATCACTCAAATGCCATTTGTAATTCAATGAAAAGAAACAAAACATAGAATAACTAATCCAAGCTTATTCTTAGTTTATCAATAAGGAGGTATTATGAGTCGACTTTATGTATTAAATATAAACTCTGTTTACTCTTTAATTCTTTTTCTTTGGGATAGAGGAATGTCAAATGAACATCAATAAGTAAACTTATGCTCACCCTATGATTCCTCCTTTGCAAAACCTCTATAAAGAGAGTGGGCCGCGGCTGCAAGTGTTTTATAAACGCCTGCAGCATGTATCCTCGCTCGTCGAAGTCTATGAGGATGCTGAACTCCTTTAGGGCGTCTAGGCTCTCCGCCACCTTCAAGGAGGTGCCTTTGAGCTTCTGTCTTATGACGTCATAGTACGTTGGCGGGAAAACCATGATCTCCGCGCCGCGCGCTTTCAGATTTCGCATCTATACAAAAAGGCGGGAAAAAATATCTATTAGTTAAAAAGTGCCTATTTTTTTTATTGTTATTTATTGAAATTAAAAAAGACTAAGTATACAGGGTTTTCCAATAAGTACAGTACCCTTAGTACGAGTTTGAGCTCTCGAAAACTATCATAGTTTTCGTAATTATAAATTATGTTTCTATGTCCATTTTGGTGAAAAGTAACCAAATATACTTAAAATTAAAGAAGACGCAAATGATTTAATGATAGATTTTAAACACTGTTTATTTGTATTGAAACGAGAACAATAAAATCAGTACTCTTAGTACGAATGCGAGCTCACGAAAACTATCATAGTTTTCGTAATTGTAAAACTCGTAGTAAAGGTACAGGGTATCTTTGACAGGCAATGCTCACCATTGCCTGTCAAAGATACCCTGTACCTTTACTATGAGTTTTTTTTTTACAATTACGAAAACTATCATAGTTTTCGTAATTGTAAAACTCGTAGTAAAGGTACAGAGTATCTTTGACAGGCAATGGTGAGCATATTACTCGTAAATCATCTATTTGCCCAAATTTTTATTAGACACATTATTGAAAGGTTGGGCATTAATTATAACAGTTACTATACAGTTATAATTTTTATTATTTTTAAAGCATGTAACTGCTTGATGTTTTAAATCTAAAGAAAATATAACTAGAAAAAAATCCACGCGGACCAGGCAGCAGACGGGACTCGAACCCGCACCCTTCGCAATCCGGGCGAATGCACTGACCAATTATGCTACCGCGGCCCTCACGGACCGCGTCGAAATTCTTTCTAGCTATTCTTAAGCTGCAAGGCAGCGCCATCTCTTCGCATTATAGGTAAACCCACAATGTCAAATGAATACTTTTACAAGTATTAAACATTTGAAAGAAGAAATAGCAATTACAGTTATAATTTTTATTATTTTTAAAGCATGTAACTGCTTGATGTTTTAAATCTAAAGAAAATATAACTAGAAAAAATTCCACGCGGACCAGGCAGCAGACGGGACTCGAACCCGCACCCTTCGCAATCCGGGCGAATGCACTGACCAATTATGCTACCGCGGCCCTCACGGACCGCGTCGAAATTCTTTCTAGCTATTCTTAAGCTGCAAGGCAGCGCCATCTCTTCGCATTATAGGTAAACCCACAATGTCAAATGAATACTTTTACAAGTATTAAACATTTGAAAGAAGAAATAGCAATTACAGTTATAATTTTTATTATTTTTAAAGCATGTAACTGCTTGATGTTTTAAATCTAAAGAAAATATAACTAGAAAAAATTCCACGCGGACCAGGCAGCAGACGGGACTCGAACCCGCACCCTTCGCAATCCGGGCGAATGCACTGACCAATTATGCTACCGCGGCCCTCACGGACCGCGTCGAAATTCTTTCTAGCTAGGAATTTTTTCTAGTTATATTTTCTTTAGATTTAAAACATCAAGCAGTTACATGCTTTAAAAATAATAAAAATTATAACTGTAATTGCTATTTCTTCTTTCAAATGTTTAATACTTGTAAAAGTATTCATTTGACATTGTGGGTTTACCTATAATGCGAAGAGATGGCGCTGCCTTGCAGCTTAAGAATAGCTAGAAAGAATTTCGACGCGGTCCGTGAGGGCCGCGGTAGCATAATTGGTCAGTGCATTCGCCCGGATTGCGAAGGGTGCGGGTTCGAGTCCCGTCTTCTGCCTGGTCCGCGTGGAATTTTTTCTAGTTATATTTTCTTTAGTTACTATACACTTGAGCAACGTGTCGAAATTATTAAAAAGTTTTGTCAAAACGGTAGTTCAATAGGGATGATGACTAATTTTTTTTTCTTCGTTTATCAGGTAGATTATCAAAAAGTGAGTTATTGATCCGAGAGACATTTGGTTACAGCAGGGTAGCGTCACCTCTCATATTGCCAGAGAGGTCAATTTATTAAAAGAGATATTTAACGAGTTCCGATCTTAAGATTCAAGGATAAGATATGGTTCCAAGATCATGTGTTTGAAAACCCCTTGATATTTTCTTGGGGGGTTATCAAATCACTGCTGTATGCGAACAATCCAAGAACTGTCGAAGACTTAAAGCTAAACATAAGCAGCGTCATCATCATGACAGAGGTGCCATTAAGTCCAAAAGTTGTGAAAATTAAACCTCTCGTATTCAGGCTACCAGACCAAGCCCGGGTGATAATTTCTACGATGTCGTATTCCACGCAAAATACCAAAGAGCCAGCTTTGAAAAAAAGATAATTTAATTTTATAAACAATCTTTTTTTTATTTAAATTCTAACGTCATCATCATCATCATCAGCCTATTAATGTCTCCACTGCTGGGGCACAGACCTTTCCTATAGATGGAATAGGGAGTTTGGGCCATGAAGCTCTGTAAAGTATCATAAATTTTGTATGGCAAGAGCTAGTTTGCTCTTACGTCCGATAGGGACGCTGCTTAGTTTTCATAGAAACTTTGACGATGCGATACGTTATGGATCCTCTGTCTGCGATAATGAAAGTTAAGCAACTTTCGCAAAGGCCGGTTATGAGATGGGTGACCCGAAAATTTCTATCTCGAGCACCTCCCAGCTTCGGAAGGCACGTAAGCCGTTGGTCCCGGCTGTTAAATGCAGTTGTCAGCACCCATTAAAACGCATTGGGCGCGCGATATGGATCATGGCCCAATATCCTTTTTTCATCCATAGGGAAAGGTCTGTGCTACCAAAGGCGGCTTTACAGGTCACGGCACGTAACTCTAGCGCTGAAAAAAACACGGAGGGGATAGCTGCTGTCGTTCCCATACGACTGGAGAGCCAATAGGCGCAACGCACGCCCACCCGCGCACCTCGTTTCCCCCCAAGACATCTTGTTACTTTTGCGCAATAACGGTCAGATTCATGCCGCGAATATACCCTCTGGGGGTATGGGGGGGTATGCGTTGCACATTGCCTATTCCATTTTGACCACGCGCTTACTAAAGCGTTCTAGTGTAATAATTTTCACAGGAGCGCTACTTTGTCCAAAGACGCCGCTGCGCCCTAGGATTGAGGACATTAGTTACGATGATGATGATACTCACAGTTTCCACTATGTCGTCTGTATATAAGGCGACGTGCTCAACGCCTGAAGTGCCGAATGCTTTGACGAATTCACTCGCCTTGCTGGTAAGCCGCAACCCTTTAGCTGCCTCGTTCATTGATAACTGTTCAGAAAAATAGTTTTCAACATCTATCAATCACTTATTAAACATTTCCAATTTTCTCAGCTAAAGAATGTACCTACTTATTTATGTTCGCATTTCGTTACTCCTCCGAAACGGCTTTCCCGATTCTCATGAAATTTTATGTGCATGTTGGGTAGGTCTGAGGACAACATCTATTTTTCATCCCCCTAAATGTTAAGGGTAATCCACCCCTAAATTTTTTTTTTCAATTTTAGATATTTTTTTTTTATTTTTTTATGATACATCATACAAAAATACATACAACCCTAAATTTTCACCTTTCTACCACCAACCCCTATTTTTTTATGGTGGTACGAAGTTCGCTGGGACAGCTAGTTATGTATAAAATTAGTAAGTACAAAGTAAATAAACGCATTTCATGCAGTAACTTAGTTCGAAATCAAAGTAACACGAAGTAACTATTCTTTCTGTTATAAATAGTAATTGTAAAGGAATACAAAGGACATCGACGAAATCGGCCCTAGCATGCCCAAAAGAATGTCCTTCACTATTATCTTTCTATTATTTTTTTAACATATTAGCAATTAATCATAGTAACCGGACAATCTGTTTAAAAAAATAAAAAATTAAAGTTCTGTTACTAGATACTACAGTCTATTCATCCAACTTGGCACTCCTTTTTATTGAAAAAACAGCATTAAAAATCAACTGATAACTGGATTCCAAAGGTTTCAGTCTATAATAACGATTTATTTTAATAATTTATTGGCTTCGTTAATATTTTATTACTAAATGGTTGATTCTGTTAAAAAGTTGTGCCAAGATTGTTTACCTTAATAAATGCATTAGAGGCGACCATAGGTATTTATCAATAGAAAAACAGAGATACCTTAGTTAATAATACTTATTACTAGTATTATATTTATAAAAAGATTATTTCTGAAATTATGTAAAGATAGTTTATACTCCCATCCCATGTAATATCTGTTTATTTTTATGAAAATCATAATGATAACCAGGTATATACCTATTTACCGATAGTAAAATATAGAAACAGGTAAATGGAAAGACTGAACATTTCATTTGAAAAGAAATCTATTATTACTACAGGTAAGGTATAGGTATCGTAGGTGCCAACTGACAACACTCATTAATCAATATGAATATAAGCATTTATTATTTTTATTATTAATTGCATTTTATGTTCATTTAATGCATATTATTTAAGTGCTTACATAGAGGTAAACACTAAATCTATTCAGAATATATAAAGTGTACATCTTTTACGATTAATTAGTATAATAATTATAACCTCAAAATCAAATACATTCTGTAGTAGGCCACGGTTCCTCAAGTTGTCCGTATCTCAACAAATGTCTAATTAGAGTTTATGAATGATTCCGAATACAACTAGCATTTTCTCATTGCTGGGCGTTCTAGGGCATTCAATGTATGGGGAACGAGCAATGTCCTTTTCTTTGTTTATGTAGGCCGATCCCGGCGGCACTGCAATGCCGGGCCGACCCGTGACGGGAGTGGAGCGAGCCCCGAACATCCCGTCGATTTACAAAAATCAGTTTAATATACTGGTCCCTCAGTGAGGGAACTTTCAGATATTAAGCTGAAAAGAACAGATACTACACTTTGATCTTAGCCAAAAGGCCGAGAAGCGATGTCGAACTAGTGGCAGCGCAGGGGTGTCAATAAACCAGCAACAAACTCAATAGCGCGATTTAGATGGCGAACTCAAACTACACTAGCGCCATCTAGTAACACCTATTAGAACAACACACATCAGCCTGCATTTTTTTAAATATAAAAACACTAACAATAGTACTACACGCACAATTTATTGTAAGTTCAGTGTTTTATAATTTCATTTATATAACTAAATAAATATATGTATCAATTTATTTGTAATATAAAAAAATACTTCTCAATTTTATAAACACGAGTGCTGGAAGTGATTTTTTAGTACATCTATTGAAGGTTTATTGAACTTTAATTTAACTCTAATTTTGTAAATACTTATTTTAGTTTTTAATGGTTGCTCATATAATAAAATTAGACTTACCAACACAGTTTCGTTCTTATTGATTACGGAGGCCGAATTGATGCAGGAATATGGGACAACATCGTGGTTGTAGTCCACACACCAAAATCTACAATAAGTAATATAAACATTGATAAAATGTAGACAACCTTTTCCTTTTTTACAAGTCGTTTAAAACTCAGTTGCTATAATAGTTTTTTTACATGTTGCAATAGCATCGTCTTGTTAAGAAACAAAATAATGCACACATAGATAACAAACTTTATTGATATTTGCTAGGTACATATTAAGCCTGTCTCCGTTATTTGCAGTAAATTTTGTAGTAAGGGCCTAATGTCTACACAAATTAATAATAGTTTTTGAACAACTATCCTAGGAATTAGGACACTCTTCACCACGAGGCAAACAGGTGAGAAATTTAACATCCCAGCTTTGCGTGTAGGGGAGGTCCCCTAATTTTTTCGCAAGATTTTGTCTGACAGTGGTGATTCCGGCATGATTCTCTAAACCTAAACTTAAATTTGACAACAGTGTATCTATGTTATTCTATATACAGGATGAAAAGGAGAGTCTGATGAAAAAAACAGTTTAATGTCTAGAGAATCAGACTATCGGTATAATTTTTGTGTATATCCATGCCAAATTACAGGTTTTTAAAACTTATATAAATTAAATAGTCTTTGAGATAAGCTGCGAGCAGACGGACAAAGAAACTATAAGGGTTTCTTTTTTACTTCGGCACCCAATAATGAACAAAATGAACAAAAAACAATCAAGCAAATCAGTAAAAAAGCTATAAGGGTTCCTTGATGACTTAGGAATCCTAAAAACAATAAAACAAGTAATTAAACTTTTTCAAATGATATTCCGTGATAGATACTAGCACTTGCAACTTAAAATTAATTATGTTTAAGTACTAGTTACCTGTGCATGTTGAGATTTTTCTCGTACCAGGCCACGGAGTCCGCTAAGGTCCCGTCAGCCATGTTACCTTCCACGTGATCAATGTATAACAAATTTGTTTGAGGTCTATAAACAAATTATAATATAAAAGTTACGCAAAATACTTATATCAGGGTTTCATGATAGTTATCCTAGAATATTAATAAATTAATCTTACTATCACTCATCTTAAACAGGTTTTTACTCATATTTGAGAAAATACAGCATTAATTTATTAAACATGCTAGGTATCTTTTATTTCTTAGCCTGCTACATATTTGATGCTCTGTCAAGCCCGTGAAATCTCTCTCCCGTATATTTTGCTATGAAATACACAAATTTTAATAAACTTTTTAAGTTAAAATAGAGAAATGCTTACAAAACGTCGTTGATAGGATCTTCCTCAGCCGCCTTGTAACCCGGTAAAAATATACCTTTGTATTTTGATCTGTCTATAAGGGTGTGCGTATTGTCGCCATACTGAAAATAGATTAGAAATTTAATATATTTATTATCAAGCAGTTTAATGAAATTAATTATTAATAAAATACAATTTCACTTAATAAAAATGCTCATAAAATTTCAGTCTTAGCTTTGCCAACATACTAATTATTGCTCTATGCCAATATCGATCGATTTGAGGATTCAGAATACTATATCCAAATCACTTGAAATAAAAAAGTCAACATTAAAAAAAACAAAGACGAAAATTCATTAATTAAGATAAAGCAAATACAAGAACATATACCGAGCATATAATTGCTTTAAAAATATAAAAAACTAAAATTACCGGAGATTAGATTAAGTAGTTTTGTTTTTTTATTACTGCATAAGTATTGTTTCTTACGACGACGAGGACTAATTACTCAATTCAAGGAGAAAAACGAGTATTTTTACTAAAAGTATAGTAAAATAAGATATGTTATCAAAACATTGTTATGTTATGTTAAGAAGAAAAAATAAAAAAGAAAATGATTGTGCGTGTCATTACAAATGATTCGCGTTCCTTGTAGGCACTGACATAAATCGCACGGTTTACCATCCTATAATAACCTGGGGGCAGCATTGCAATTAACAATAATTTCAGGGTCGTCTTTATTTTAATCAATTATTTAATTACTTATCATAAATCATTCATAATAGTTTACCTAGTCATTTAATGATCTGAGCGTCATGATCGTCGTGATGATCTGAGACAGCTGCCTAGGTAAAGGAATTGTGTACAATTACCAAGTTTTTATACAAAAAAAATATATTCGTTTCTAAAGAGGACCAATTTATAAATACATTTATAATGATTTTAGCTACTATAATATTAACTAGATGGCGCTGTACGCTAATTGAATCGCGTTATGGTTTTACTTTCATGTATTACCAGTACATCGTGACGTTCAGCGCCATCTCGTGAAAACATTCTGAACTAATATAAATTTTAATTTTTAATGTTCTCAGTTTTATACTGTGAATTGATGTTTACATTGGTGCCAATTCTGGCGTGATTCTCTAAACTTAAAACTAAATTTAACATCAGTCTCTCCTTTTCATTCTGTATAGAGAATGACAAGGATATACTGCTGTCAAATTTAAGTTTAGGTTTAGAGAATCATGCTAGAATCGACACCATTGTGTTTCTAAAATAATGTGTTACAACTGTAGGTACAATGTTTGAATTCAAACGACTTAAATTATTTTTTATGGATGGATTATTAAAAATTAGGTATAGGTATCTACTTATTAAACAAAAATTTTTCAAAAGTTTTTTTTCCTTAATTTTATTTACGTTCGAATTGTACATATCTGCCAAACTGTACTACAGTTTGTCGGCATTTCATTCATTTGCAAATAGGGGGAAAGGAAAGATTTCCAGAACACTGTACCTAACATACATGTACAACATTCTAATATTGGTTGCATTCTCTTTTCGGAATATTTGATTACAGAATCTATACCTAATCTCACTTTGAAACATACTAATTAATTGGAAAGCGATATATTGTACAAATTTATTTATTTAATTAACTATTGGGAATGTGTAAGTCTTAACATAATCGTTGCTTTTTAAATAATTTAATATTAAATTGTAGTGTAATGGCCTATTTATTTCAGCGCCTTATTTGATAATGCTTGTTTATTTATCTGTGATTTTGCTGAAGAAGTTTGCCGCTAATAGGTATCACGCGTATGATGGCTACCATCAGCCGAGTGATGCGCTTTGTTTTCCAACCTTATTACATTAAAAAACTATTAAACTCACAGTCCTTAACACCGCGTATCTGATAATTCCATCACTGTCCTTGTCTTCCGTGACGTCAGCCACTACCTGAGCGCCACCCTCTTTAGCCCGTCGCACCAACTCATCAAGAGCCTCTACTTCAAAAGCCACGTCCTTCACGAAGTCACCGTGAGCCGTCAGATCCTTAACTATAGCGCCATCGGTCGTCGTTGGCGATTCAAACACTATTGTAATCTGTAAAGAAAAAACATTCGTACAATCTCCGGAGACCAGTTGCAGGCGTAAGAAATAGCAACTTGCAAACGTGACATGACGCGACGGAATTGCCGATTCATTATTTAATACCTATTTAGTATGAAATCGCCACCAAAGCTTAATAGCGTTTTGGTGGTCTGAAGAGTGAATTTTAGTAGTGCAAATCGGTAGCAATCGGTTAGCAATGAAAAACTCAGGGTTACAGATATTCCTTACACTGAATATAACGGGCATTATAGACCATGCGAAAGCACCTTCTTATTGGGAAATTATTTTAAGTACAAAATATGGCCTTTTAGGGTATCAATAAAATTTCTTGTAAATTCTAACAGTAGATCCAATCGATATATAGATATATTGATATGGATATATTCTAACAGTAGATTAATTTGATATACCTGATTGAGTTTCACAGCATGGGCTAACACTGGCTTGCCCTCGGTTGGTTCGCGAAGTGCCAATGGTTTAAAACCAAATCGCGTCACGAAGTAACTGGAGGCCTATACAACGAGGAAATTATAATGAGAACTACCAATACATGTAATGGTAAAACATAAGTAAAAGTAATAAAAAATGGACTGCAGAAACAAACTTTTTCATTTCATTTTATAAAAATAGAATTTCTTATAATTGTGTGAAGCGCATTATTTTTTCTACTTTAAAAAGATTTTCGACTCCTAAATTACAACTTTTTGTTTAATTGCATTTAAAATGTTTGATCCAGGTTTTGTGTCCCGTTATTTGATTTCTTAAAATTTTATCAATACCACAAATGCGTGTTGAAATTGTTATTAAATTAAAACGCAATAGAGTACATTTTCACTTACAGATTTTGCATTCGCCACCCAAAATATGAGATGATCGAAGTTAAGCACTTTTCCCTCGATGACCACTTTATTCGATTTTCCTTTCGTCATATTTGTTTCTAAAAAAATATAAAGACACTTAAAAATAGTATTCTACTTTCGTCACACATTACACAAAATATATTGATTATTACACTGTATGCATTAAGGGTTCAAAATAAATGTAATAGGTACAAATGTATACAGAGTGATAGAAAAAGAAAAATATTTCGAAATAGTAATATTAATAAAAATAAATCGATAAATTTTTGTTCATTTTGCTTGTATCTACTATTTATTTAAGTATATAGAGTTTCATTGATTTGCTCATACTATCTGACTATTTTAAGGCACGGTTAAGTACTTATATGTGGCCGATAGACAGCTCTAAAATTACTCTATTCACACAAAAAAATTATACGCCTTTCCGTTTGTTCTTTTGAAAAAATGCTAATGGAATTTGATGTCATTTTTAATTATTTAAAACAAACTAACGTTATCGCTCTGGATAGAAAAAGAAAAAGGATTCTTATCCACCCTAACACCTAAAGAAAATTTTACTAGAAAACATTCCTCCTGGTCCTGTCCTGTCTGATGCCTGGACCAAGTGAAATTTTCTTTAGATTTCTAAATCATACAGTATACATAACATATTAAATGCTTATAATGAATACGTAATAAACTCCCCTAGAATACTTATTATTTGCCAAAAATATTGCAATTTTAAATAATAAAGAGTAAAGTCGGATGAAATAATGTTCTCAGTTACGTGAGTTCAATATAAAATACGAACTAGATTACTCTGTGTTTGAAGTAGTAATTTTCTGTTGATTTACGCATATTTCTATTCTAATCAAGGTTCTTTCAAGTATATAATTTTGTCGACTAGGACTGAATCGAATGGATAGGGGCCTTCAATATTTAAATACGTTATGGAAATAACAAAAAAGAAAAATAAATTATAATAATAATTAAATATGCAAACATATTACATTGCTAAAACATAAAAAAAGACTTTTTTAATGTATCAATAAATTTTATCTCAGTTTGTCAATATGCCTGTTATGTGATATTTCTTATTTATGTAGCAATTTTTTTTATTAATACAATTATTACAATTAATTAATTAATGTATTAGTTACTGCATTATCCCAGTAAGATATAACTTATTATTAATTGTTTCTCATAAATTATCTCATATTGTCTACAAAAAACTTATACATGAACTATTCGCTAAATCCAAACCTGCAGGAAAAACTCGTAAACTTTTGTAAGTGTTAAAGCTTAAAAGAACGTAAATTTGTTTTGCAGCCTTATAGCCGTGGAAAAAGAAATAATTTTGTCTTGTAAACTATATCTCTCATTATAATAAATAGTCTACGTTTTTTAAAAAATAACTTTTGTTTTCTTTTATGGCTTATAAAAAACATTAATTACATCATATTGTTTCGAATCTTGCTGAGCATAGGTCGGTCGGTCATGATTTTCGTACGTAACGCAAGTGCTAGTAAAAATATTTGTTTGTGGTCAGGAAGATGTTCGTGAGATTATCTTTTTCAATTTGGTTGGATAACTTTTTTTATCTCAATATTTTTAATAAATAAAAAATCTATATTTAAATAGAATCCTCACCTTTTTTAGACATTATATTTATGCACACCACAAGAAAAGTAACCAAACTGCGTCAAGAAAAAAAAACTGGCTTATATATAGCACAGCTATTTTTATCGTATACACTGATCTAGCCTCATAAATTAGTAAATTTATTAAATATAATACTTCTGATACACATTAATGCTGATATTGATCAAGTTATGGATTCATAAAAACGTTAGATATCGATGTTATATATTTTAATTTCTGATGTAGTGATATGATCTCTTATCGTTTAAGATCAATGTAACTGTGAACAAAAATTTAAATAATAAGTACTCATTAGTTGATCTTGAAATAATTATGTTTCCGCTAATTAAACTTTGGTTTGTCATTAGATAAGGTTAACTATGTAAAAAACTATTAAGTAAATAGTGCCTAGCAAATCTATAACATAGCATTATATTTTTCCAATGTACAAATAATGCATTGTATAAAACGCTTATTAAGGCAAGATCTTTAAAGTAACCCTCACAAGTTATTCCTTCTAAAAAGGATTATGATATTATTTTATTGATATTTACAATACAATAGAGAGGGGGGATACCCAAATAGAGCTATGTTTGTGTGAAATTTTTAAATGAATTATATTAATTATTAACTACTATGAGCCAAATGAGTTTTAAACGACTTAAAAAAAAAGAAAAGGTCGTCTACATTTTATCAATGTTTATTATATTACTTGTAGATTTGGGTGTGTGGACTATAACCACGATGTTGTCCCATATTCCGCCATCAATTCGGCCTCCGTAATCAATAAGAACGAAACTGTGTTGGTAAGTCTAATTTTATTTTAATATGAGCAACCATTAAAAACTAAAATAAGTATTTACAAAATTAGAGTTAAATTAAAGTTCAATAAACCTTCAACAGATGTACTAAAAAATCACTTCCAGCACTCGTGTTTATAAAATTGAGAAGTATTTTTTTATATTACAAATAAATTGATACATATATTTATTTAGTTATATAAATGAAATTATAAAACACTGAACTTACAATAAATTGTGCGTGTAGTACTATTGTTAATTTTTTTATATTTAAAAAAATGCAGGCTGATGTGTGTTGTTCTAATAGGTGTTACTAGATGGCGCTAGTGTAGTTTGAGTTCGACATCTAAATCGCGCTATTGAGTTTGTTGCTGGTTTATTGACACCCCTGCGCTGCCACCAGTTCGACATCGCTTCTCGGCCTTTTGGCTAAGATCAAAGTGTAGTATCTGTTCTTTTCAGCTTAATATCTGAAAGTTCCCTCACTGAGGGACCAGTATATTAAACTGATTTTTGTAAATCGACGGGATGTTCGGGGCTCGCTCCACTCCCGTCACGGGTCGGCCCGGCATTGCAGTGCCGCCGGGATCGGCCCACATAATCTATGAAAATATCGATACGGTAGCCGGTAGGTCTCCGCACAGTATTACTATGACTAAAGCCCGTCATAGACGTAGCTATAATATATATTAATATGAATCATAGCAAGACATATTACAACATATTTTCAATATAAATTTTCGAGTGACCGCACACGCAGCTATAATATATATTTCTATGACGTCACCAAAATATGTCGACAGATATATTTTGGCATATTAGTGTATATTTTGGTATATTAATATATATTTTGATATATTTTTATGATACGGTATGTTTCATTTTTCACCGAACGCCTGCCAAAATATATATTATAGCCGTGCCCCGCGGTTTCACATATAAAATATGCAAGCAAGCGCGCGTGGATTTCCTTAGCAGAGTTATTTTAGAAATGTATATTATACTCTTCAAAGATCTTATACTTACAATCATCAACAAATATATTTCGAAAAAGATTATTACAGGATTTTATGTTAATAAAAAACTCTATGGCCCATAACTCATTAATAGGTACCAACTCGTAACATCTTACACACGTGATAACTTTTAAACGAAATATCCGATTGAGATGAAACAAAAAGTATTTTACTTAATTTCGATAAATATTAATATTACGATACATATTTAACGTAGTTTTTTTTCTTCAGACAATGTAATAATTATTTTGAACACAAAATCGGTTATTGTGATTAAACCATGATAGCTAGATATATGTTCTCGCGGACTTTTTTGTAGGTCTTAATGGGATCTACAAACCCGTAGTACATCATTTTGTTCTATTGTCAATAGTTTTTGCAGCGCACGCAAAAATAGGTTTTCGATTTTACACCTTGTGTTACAAAATAGCTATTTTATTACGGATCCCTAATTTAGAAAGAAAAAAATATAGCCTATAGCCTTCCTCGATAAATGGAAATACCCAACACTGAAAGAATCATTCAAATCGGACCAGTAGTTCCAGAGATTAGCGCGTTCAAACAAACAAACAAACTCTGCAGCTTTTTAATATTAGTATAGAAGTATAGATAGTACAGCTCCTGTCTGTGGTAGTTTGTATAATATAATATCTCGATATATAAGTATATATAGCTACGTCTGTGACGGGACATATTTTGGCATATTAGTATAATACGGAATGTTCAACTTCTATTTTTCGTTCCTGACAAGGCAACATGCATATCAAATTCAGCATCGGAATCATCCTCTGAGGAACTTTCAATTAAATCTAAAAGTAGTGCTCTTGTCGAATTCATTTCGGTAAGATCGATTATAACGTTATTTCAAAATTAAAACACCCTGTGCTAGAAAATAAGCTTTAAAACCGTGCGCTTGCAAAAACGACCGCAGACCGAGTGAGGGCAAAATATATATTATAGTATAGCTCCCGTCTGTGGTAGTTAGCTATAATATAATATATATTTCGATATATTAATATATATTATAGCTACGTCTGTGACGGGCTTTAATAATTGAGTCTAGTTAGAAGCCAATATACTAAACCAAACAAAGTCGTTACCACCAACCAATCCGCACTGGGCCCTCGTGGTGCATCATTGCCCACCATCTCCCTATTTCATCGATAGGAATGGTTTGAACCCCAGCAGTGGGGTAAAAGGTTTTTACCACACACACAATTTTGAAAACTTTTATGACGATTACAATCATCATAAAGACACGGCATTAATTTTATGCACTTTTTATACATTTATTACGACAAAATGTGTACATCTAAGTTATATGTTAAAAACAAGGGGATGCAACGTTATATTTTTATGCATTTTCATAGGTGTGTCTATAACTGACAATGATTATACATTTTAAAATTAAATATTTAAAAGAAAATCAAAATAAACTCCCAATTTTATTGCAATGCCACAAAGTATCTTCTATATCATTTATTATATTTCCAAAGCGAAACTTTTGCGGGTATTTAGTTAGTAATATTTTTTAAATTTAACCGTCCTAAATATAGGACAGTAGGTTTATCTGGGTTAAGAGTACATAATTTGTTGTAGTCCAACAAGGAAATAAAACAAGCACAATGTCCATTAATAAAATAACTTCATTTATTTCTTTTATACACAATTTATTTACATAAGATCGCAGACTTAATAAATACAGAGTATTTTATTTATTTGCACCTATATATTTAATTATACGTATTTGTCAATAGGTAAGGCACCTCCATGGAAGCTTATATCCGAACAAACTGCGTTCTGGTCGAAATCACACATCTATCCATTCAATATGAAACAGAACAAAACAGTCCTAATTATATTGTTTAATAAAATATGCACAAAATACGATCTTGTTCAAAATAATTAAATTTCTGCCACTCTCAAGTTTGTTGCAAATTCGACCATAAGTAAAATCCATTAAGGACTTTTTGAATATAAAACATGGTTCTCCGTATAACTAAAATCAGGAAAAAAAGACTAGGTGAAACTCCTAATGGATTTTACTTTTAGACATAATCATCTTACGTATATTTATTATTCTATATAATTATTATAAACAGGTAACAACTTATTACTACTTACATTTAGTATTTACAAAAGTAATTTACACAAGGAATAATAGTACAGGAAATGCATGCAGTAATAACAATAATTGATTGCAGTAAATATTATATTAATTGTGATTAATAATAATTTAAATTAGATCTTTATGTCCTTTAAAAATGTATTTTTCCATTATTCAGTTTTTCAAACGTCTAAAAATAAAAAGGGTGATAATTGAAATTATAATTATTTATATATATTGAATTAAGATTAAGTGTGTGATACTTATACAATGTTTTGCATAAAAATAGAATATAACGACTGCATTAAGGTTACGATTCAATCAATTGCGATTGCGAATACTACTAGTACAGTGAAAGCAATTGGATTGAAAACCAACTCTGTTTAAGTTAGCAGTTATGTGATGCAGTCGATTTGCTGTCGCAAAAACTGAATACATTATCATCAGTCTCATATTGTGTGAGTATCGGTTTTAGTATCAATTTGGGTAAAAATTATTTGTTAATTAGTTGATTTAACTAAAATCACATTTAAGCTAAACCCAGTGTAAAAACATCACAAGGTTTTACATCAATATAAAAAGAAGATTTTAACCGTGATTTCAATTAAATTTCACTTAAGGACTTTGCAAGGTAGTGGTGATTATATATTGGTGTATTTTCTATTTATTTCTGCAAATAGTATTTTTCGCCGGAAATAATGGATTAAATTTTAATTCCAGGGAACGAACTAACGCAAGGCAAACCAAATATTAACCACACTGGAGTGAACTAGAATCAAGATGTAAAAATTATTTATTTTATGATGTAGCACCTATGATGTCTACTAAGATACATTGTGTTTTATTTGTATAGTATGTAAAGTGTAGATAATTCGTTGATTTTATATTGATGACGGAAGAGTATGTAAAATTCCGGTAACACGTGAAAAAGGTTTATACATCCATATAGTATTATTTATACAGATAACAAGTTGGTTTACATTAACAAAGACTTTTACAATAAAAAAGGAACACAAAGCTCTTATAAATAGTATAATAATAAAAATAATTATACAAAATGGTAATTTGGTATATACCAACGGGCTGCTGCGTGCAATGAATAAGAAAGAAACAAAATTCTTTGAGATCATTATATAGATTCGTAATTGGTTAGGCATTTTTAAAAGGAGCTTAATGAACAAATTGTTAAAATTACAGATGAACTTTCTATTATTCACGGTTCACGATATCTCAGATTACAGAACAAAAGTTTAATTACAAATTGTTCCGTAATCTGAACAATATAAAATTAATAAAAAATCCTCAGTTCTTATTAATGTGATATTATTACAGTATTTATTTTTTATTTCGTTATTTAACCTTTAAAAATTTACTCGGGTATCACAGTGTTAATGTTTATTTTGAACCTTAGTGATTAGTTTTTGGAAGCTGAAATTTAGTGGTAAGACCATTTCCTTTGCAGAAAGCTTTGGAATTTGGAATATATTAGGTTAAATCATCAGTAGGTCAACTGTAATAACCCGTAGATTGATTCAGTATAAATTAGTAGTTTTCGTAGTAAATGAAAAATAAAATTGCCGAGAGTTTGTAGAACTTTTAAAAACCAAATATTATACACAACAGACATGGTTGTCGAATACGATAAAAATAAAATCCTTTTAACCATACTCAAGCCCTTTATCAGTAAACCATCGGAAACATTTCCAAGTCAGTTAACTATAAAGCTCTGTCATTGTAAGAAATATACAAAGACCAAAGACAAAAGCATAGTTAAGCAAACTGATACCATTCCGATTGTCTTTGACTAAAGGAGGGGTACTTAAACAAAATCAGTCATTCGTTCTCGTTCGTTCTAGATCTTAAGATCATTTCACGTCACAGCCCGTTACTCAATCGCCCTTATATACAACGCGGTGAGGTTGAAATTCGCACCCCACAAATTAATATATGCACTCTATACGAAATTGAATATATTCAATAACTCCTTCATTTCATCGCCGACAGATCTAGCTTTAAATACATAACTTGATGGATATAAATGGACAGCAAAATTTCCAAACTTATGAATAAACTTACAACTGCTTAGAGGCTTTTAAGAAATAATCTAATAATATCTGTTCATTGCTTATGTAACATCATATACAAAAGCAATAAAAAACAAATATTATTAGATTATTTCTTGTTTTTAACACTCTTTTGTGTCCAGCATGCATAACTAAGTATAGTGGGTTTTCTACGCCATATTGGAATTTACTTCATATTTATGAACTTTGATGTTTGAAAAACCATTTATACTGATTTAAATAACCGCGTAATCAGCTATATTTTAACATAATTATTTATTAACAAAATCTTAAGTTGATGGATCCTCTTATCAGATTCATCGTTTATTTTTGCATTTGTAGTAATTTTTCTTGGGGGGCAATTCTGAGGCTGATTAATGCTAAGCAGTACCTGATGTATCCAATTTCAATAGATTACAGTAACAATGTTCCAAATATCCATCCAGTTTGTATGAACATTCGCTCTCAAGTTCTGGCAAAACGAATTCTCTCCGAAACTACTGTACAGGCAGTGGCGTGCAACATAATACATATAATGAATAAAAAATTCTACTCTAGGTGACAAAATACATAGTAAAGTTCCGTTTTCAAACTATGCACACATATTTTAAGCCTGTGAATTAGATGAATTTTAATAAGTGTTAATTATGTCTTCATCATGGTCTTTTGCAATGCACGCTACTGCCTACAAAAGACAGTCCAATACAAATGTTCAGTTTTTTTTCATAGCATAATTCGGATAGACTGAAAATTTCGCATCAAAATACATCGTACCAAATTATGAGGCTTCAGTTATAAGCCCAAAATGTTCTCACAAAACTTCACTTCATATTTTGACAACTCCAAATTCAACACTCATTTGACCGAATTTCATTATTATTATCATTTTTTTTTCTTTTAATAAGAAGGATAAGCCGGCTTTTCGGCTTCGAAAGTATCACTGTACCACTAATGGAGGAGGAATAAAGGGTTCTACCGCTGTATGTCGCACAGTTGTTGCTGCGGGTGTTGTTGCATCGGATGCGGTGCGTCCAATAATTGCGCCCTTTCTATAGCCACCAGGCATCCCCCTGGCGCTACTAGTAAAGGCGCGGCTGTCGATCCAACCCACACTTTCTTCACGTCTTCAGTATTCTGCGCCAGGGGAGACATGTAACCGCCTCTGAAATAGAAACCAAACGAATGTTTATAACAAAGTTACATTAAATTAATAAAAAAATGAGGAGATCGATGGAGCGCGTTCTCCTAAATGGAAACTAAACTACTTTATTCGCAATGGCCAGTTATCGGATGGATGATCAAAAATTTACTATCTCTAGCTTCTGCATGCTACATCTGCAGTCATGGTCATGACATGACTCAATTTCCTTATTTCATCCATCCAAGGCCTGTGCTCCAGCAGTGGTTACATTAATGGGCTGATGCTGACGACTTCAAATAGCAGTCAAAAACGGATACCATCACAGATGTTGCAAACATCCTTAACATTTATAATACTGTACTAGCCCGCGATCAAAAGATATGAATGCAGAATAAGCAGAGTTTCATCAGAGTTTGCTAACTAGCGAATGATCACAAAATTGCATTGACTTTCGGTATACTCTTAGTTTCCCTACTTGCTACTACACTAGCAATGTCGTAGTAAATGATGGGCGCTGTTGGCATTCTGTAATGATACCATATTGTTATTTACCTAAGTTTTCTATCAGCGTGCAGTAGCGCGTCCGCCTTGAGCAGTCGCACGGCTACAGCCACGAGTAGGAACAGTATGAGCGCCCCGCATAGAGGCACCGCGATGGTGGCCGCCTTAAACCAAACCTCGCCGTTGTAACCGCCGCGTTCACTGGCTACAGTGTTGGAGTCTGGAAAAGAAACGAAAAAATATATATAAGCAAAAAAATATTTTAAATACTATTAAGGTTATTCCACTCATTGTTTCTCTATCGTGAAAAATATCCTGAATGCGGTAGCGATAACATACGTTGGAACTATTTATTTGTATTTAGTGTTTTTACGTTTAATATTTACGTTAATTATTTAATAGAAACATTTCTTGAACAGGTATTAAATTTTACATCATTCTTAAAGAGAAACGACAAATCTTGGCCGGTCTGCCGTTTAGCTGGGCACCGGATTTTTAATAATAACATATTCTACTACTCAACCAAACGGCTTACTTAAGACCTCGCCAAGATATGACTGTACTTCAAGAAACTCGTGTTTTATTTATATGTACTATATGGAAGGCGAACTAGCACTCGGTCTACTTGATGGTAAACGATTACCATGGCCTGTAGACGCTATTATATATTTCATAGCTTACTCGTAAGCGGGACGAAATTCCTATGAAAACGTGCATTTTGGTTGCAAAGCTTGAACACGAATTCCCTGTTGACGGAATGTTAATTAATAATAAAAACACAGACACGTTTTTTTACATTAATATGTTTATCAGTTACTGTCATGAAGTAATATAAGTTATTTACGGGATTGTTACCATGTACCTTGTTTTTAGTGAGTTTCCGATATTTGCGAAACATTTGATTGATTCTGGTCCTAACCACTGCATTGAGTTTCATAACCCACAGATTATCTCGACAGAACGCTACTACATACCAAGATTAGTCAGGAAAATGATTGAAATAACAAAACATAAAAATTTCAACGACGGGTTTGACGGGTTTAAATTGTCGAGTGTCTGCAATTCTGTGGTTCGTATGTGTAAATCCGGAAATAATCAAAAAAGTGTCGTGTCGCGATTCGATACTGTAAGTGTTGTGTGTCGAGAACAGTTTCTAGTGAATAGTGAGTGGTACGGATATCGAACCAAATAAAAGACTTCGTCGGAGGGTAGACTGATATGTCTGCCAATAACAGCCTACCCGCAATTACTTCGGTTACTCCGTGATCATGGCGCTTGCAACAGTGCCGAAATATCGGAATCTCGCTAAAAACAAGGTACATGGTAAAAATCCCGTATATAACCTATATAACTATAATGTTTGTGACCATGAAAGTTTAAAACAATAAGTGTCATGAAGTTCAAAACGAATTTTACGTTCTGTGCTTAACGGATGTTGCGTCGACAGTCTATGAAAGGTAAAACAACACCACTGCGCATGGTCATTTAAGACATCGCACTCTTGTAACTGCATTCCGTTAATGACGATACGCATTTTGTTTGCCACCTCATAACTGCGCGTTCGCAGTACTGAAGTGTAAGCTCTGCTTTCTGCGAATTAAATGAGCCTAATATGCGTTTTGTTAATAGTTGATTGCAGTCGTAAATCGCTACTGTGTGTGTGGGAGGCATGATTTATTAAGAGGTTTTATTAATGTTTGCTGCATTGGCAGTACTGTCGTGTCGTCTACCCTTTGTCCTTAGGCAAGTACAATGGTGAGAAAATAAAGATCGATGCGTCAAATTTGTGGAAAAATAGTAGCGAATTTATTAGTAAATTCAAACGCAAAACCATGCGGGAGTGACTTAGCACGTCTTCTACACTATAGAATGATTGTTGAAAATGGAACGGTACAGTATGGAAATTAACTTAAGTATAAAGTTATCGAAGCGGATTTAAGATTTCACTAGGATAATATCTAAGAAATAATTCTTAATTCATAAAAAAGTATAGCATCCGTTAACCAGCTGATAGTTGCTCTACGTGAAAGAAAAAAATTTTGCGTAATTCTTAAGTTTGAGCAACGAAAAATGAGTTTGGAATAGTTACGAAGTGTTTTGTCTATGGTCATAAAATAACAAAATGTCATTTGAACGATGCAAACAAGACACTACTACTTACATAACTAGTTTAAGTAGTACTATTGGGAAACTTTCTTTTTTATACGATAAATAAATAAATAAATATTTCCAACACACACCAATTAGCCTAGCCCCAAAGTAAGCACTGTAAGGTTTGTGTCATGGAATACTAGGGTAACGGATAGAATACATATACAGTACATATATAGGTATACTAGCTGACCCAGCGAACTTCGTATCGCCATAAAAATATGGGTGGCAGAAGAGTGAAAATTTAGAGCTGCATGCATTTTTAATGCCACATTATAAAAAAATAAACCAAAATCTAAAAAAATGTTAGGGGTGGACAACCCTTATCACCTAGGGGTATGAAAAATAGATAGTAGCCGATTCTCAGACCTAGTGAATATGCATATAAACTTTCATAAAAAGCGGTCAAGCCTTTTCGGAGGAGTATGGTAACTAACATTGTGACACGAGAATTTTATATATACGATTTATATAGAAATACATATTAAACATCCATGACTGGAGCACAACTGCTCGTATTCATCACACAAACATCTCCCCCCACCGGGATTCGAACCCGGGACCTCTCGAGTCGGCGACACCATGCAACCCGGCGTACAAACCACTCGACCACGATGGGTCAACATTTTTAGTTTAAATAATTTATAAGGGACTTTTATCATATTAATTTAGGACAGTACTATCCACTATCCAATATAGTAAAATAAACACCGGTCTCTCGTATACCGTAGAAGAAATTATTTCTAATCCGCAATAGACAAGCGCATTTAATGAAAGGCCCATAAATACAGTTAGGCATTATAATAAAATCGAGATGGTGTGGCTGTGTACGAAACGAGTTCCTAGCTATTTCTACTGGTCGATTAAGAGAGAATTGTAAGCACTGTCTAAAATACTACTTGCTGGGCTCATCATAGAGGTTACTTTCGTTTGTAGCTACGCTCGGTTAATTTTAACAAAGGAATGATGGGATAATGTTAAAACAATTGCGCATCGGCATGTAAAATGAACAAAGGCGCGCGCGCGCCGCGGGTTAAATCCATTATACTGAAAAGTTATGGAAGCAACTGATACGCGATTTATTGTCAGTCATCAGCTTTGTTTCATAATAATAATGTTTAAAAAAATATTGTGAAAGCAAATAAGGTAAGATAAAATAAGAAGTAAATGATTACGATTGATTTTACGTTTGAAATGACATTTTTAACAGTAATTGATTTATTATGTTTGTCTTCTTTAAAATTAATCTAAGGATATTTTCGCAGTATTCAGAAATACAACCAGTACATAGAATTTCCAAGGTGTTGCCTACTCGAGAGGTCCCGGGGTCTAGTCCCGGTGTGGGCAGATGTTTGTATGATAAATACGAGCATTTGTACTCCACTTATGGATATTTAATATGTATTTCTATAAAAATATACTTATATATGTATTCTATCCGTTACCCTAGTATCCCATAACACAAGTGCTTACTTAAGGGCTACGCTAATTGGTGTGAGTTTTGGAACTATTTATTTATTAATAATCTTGGGCTTCATAAAAAACCAGGGGGCCAATCGCTTATCGGGATTGCTATGGCTATCGCTATCGCTTGCGTTTTCATTTTGTTATGTCTGACCGCCGAAGGTTTTCAAATGCCCCGCGCTCTTCTTTTGTAGTGGTAACAACAATATCAGAGAAAATAATAGTACGGTATTTGAAAATCTTAGGCGGTCAGAAATAACAGAATAAATTCGTAAGCCTATAGGGTTAGCCATAGCAATTCCGTTAGGCGATTTGCAACATCGCAACGTCGTTTAAGTACCATTCAAAAGGATTCTGATCAAATAATAACATACGAGTAATAATGTAGCGTTTACTAATTTTCTTTAATTATGGTGCAATACATAAGTTCTTGTGAGTCAATGTTTACACAAGATAGGGAAGTGATTTACAACACAATTGATATTCCACAGAATGTAATAACATCGATTAGAGTTTGTTTATATTAACCTGCCTCCTAAGGCTTAGACGACACGATGTATTTTGCAGGATCGTTAAGATGAAGTTAAGAGATATGAGATTAACGGATAACCTTTGGTCTCGTACGCCGATTGATTGATATGATTTGTTGAATAATAACCGAATAAATAATTCCGCTCTTAGTGCAAAGTTCCACGTTTCCAAATAAAGCGTTGCAAGGAGACATAGGGAGCTATTAAGGGCTCAACTTTTTTTTATAGATATGTCCAACAAATGACTGCGCCCCACTTGATGTTTAGTGACGGTGAAGTCCAGACATGAAGATAGCTGGTACAGCAGTTCTACCTTTTTTTGAGTGTGTATGCTGTTGGTCGCAGACGACCTTTACAGCGTCACCGGGTTTGGGGACGGCGAGATCCTAAAGGGACCTCAAGCCGAGAATTGGCGAATGCCTCTAGAGGCATTCCAGGCGGATGGCGTCTCCCCACGGGGGGAGTCTCCTCTCCGTCTGGAGCCTCCAGACCACTCGAACCTGAGGGGGTCGGCTCAACTAGAGGGCGTCTCTGTGATTCGGACCTCCGCTCTAGTTAGCCGTTGTCGTGAGGGCAAGGTACAGCAGTTCTACCTGCCACACCAGCCATCCTCACCTTGCCGGCCTGCATATTGCTTCTTCACGCCTCTTTTAAAGGATCCCAGGTTGTAAGAAGGAGGGAACGCGTGAGCGGGCAGAGCATTCCATTCACGGATAGTGCGACAATTGTATTTGAACGACGAACGACATTTTGAACCATTCGTCGTCGTCGTGTACTTGGGCGTTTGGTTTCTATATTTTTTTAAGATATCGGAAATCCTGTATTTGTAATTCGCCCACCTATAAACACTTTAACTTGTCGCCGCTTATGTGTAATTATTTACTCACCTTTTTTTTCCTAAGTAAGCCTCTCTGGGGACAGCCAAAAACGACGCATAAGTTCCTTGCGATAATTAACACAATAACATTTGCTTTCAAGCAAATTAAAAACAGCTAATTTCTTATGTTTAATGAAAACTAGGAATTTAATAAAGAGACGAACGATTCTAAAATAGGCCTATTTTTGTGTCCAACAAAGCGCACAACCTGTTGGCCCAACTCAACTGTAGAGCGAATGACAAAGTCACTCGTTCGAAAGACATTATTAAACAACTCTGCCACTAAGATGAATAACCAGTACTTAAGCAAACTCATTGGAAACAATTTGTTTCAACAGACCGCCACCACATTGTTATTGCCAATTTCTTTGCGACGCGACGCAACGCAATGCAAATTACACGCAGTTTATAAACGATTATCTTCTAACATTCAATTAGTTTGCAACTTGAATTCAACGCTTGTGAATGCAAAATATAGGCTCACTGCACCAAGGTTCGTTTTGTTTGATTAATGTGTAATTATAATAAAGGTCGGGGCACACAATGTGTGCCTATATTTACTACTTATTTATGTAATTCAGTGTGTAAAATGTTAAGTTATATTCGTTAAGTGATCTTAAATGCCACTATTCCAATATTACGATCTGGCGATACTTAGAACTTTTAAGTGATTCCCTTAATTTCCTGGCTTCTATGCTTCCTTAATGTTGTTGATCGCTCCTGACACTAAAATTACTATCCTGATTTTTTATTACCAAAGTATCGATGTATTAAGGCAACGGATTAGGGTGCGAACCAAGCACGTGGCATAACTTATTGTAAGAAACTGCCAGTCTAATATGCTAGCAGTGTATTCACTCACTTGGCAACCTTACTCACTACCAATACCAAACACTACAAAATAGTGAATTTGGAGCATGCTGTCGATTCAAACGCTGTAAATCAACAAAAATAAACAGTCTGTCAACTTACCAACATTTCCCAGCGACAGGTAAGTTTAGTCTGGCTGTTGACACTAATCCGAACGCGACTATATGACTATACGCGAACGAATATATTTTAGATGTCGGTAAGTTGACAGATAGCGTGAATAACTAATGGAAAATTAGTTTTGATTCCTCTATCTTCTCTTTTTCTTCCCCTGGTAACTCTGAACTTGTTCTTTCTCTTCCTCTGGTAACTCTAAACACTAGTTTGAATGAAAACTCATTTCCCCTTGGTAATTTAATCTTTCAACTTACCGACATCTCAAATTTAGAGGTAGGTTTAGTCTGGCTGTTGGCAGGGGACCGATCCAAACGCTCTAGTTCAAATGAAAACAATCTTCCGTTCCTTACACTTTCTGTAAACTTACTGACATAAGGTTTAGCATGGCCGTTGACAGGGGACTATCCTCGTGGTTGCACATGTAACGGAACGGCGGACCACCGGACACTGGTGAGTTTTGGCGCTGCGACAGCAGCTAGTTTTCTCAACTTTAGTTTGAAAAGAATCTGTTCCACCTGGCAATTCTCATTACTTCTCAACTTACCAACATCTCCCGATGTGAGGTTCAGCCTGGCCGTTGACAGGGGACTGTCCTCGTGGTTGCACATATCTCGGAAGCAGCACAGCAATAACGAGTGGTCGCCAGAAGGCGGCGGACCGCCGGACACTGGCGAGTTTTGGCACCGCGAAAGGGCCTCATTTTCTCTGAAAACAATTGAAGAGTTGCGGTTAAGCTTTTGGAAACAGTTTTTATTTGTAGAATTTTTAAAAGGGTACCTTTCCGTCATACATGATTTTTGTCTTAACCGTTCACGCGGCGCACATTTCGTAGATGTTATAGTTATTACAAATGGCGTCGTACGTTAAAAGTATTCGACAATTGTGTACTAGATAGATGGTAACCGCCCCAGACTTATTTCTTTGGGGCTTCTTGAATTCTCGGATTTATGTCAACAATTCTCAGACAATTAAAGCCCTTAAATAGTCATTCAACAGGAATAAAAACAGTTGTCACTCGAAAACTTGCGGAAATCATGGAAAATGCGATAAAACGTGCACAAATTTTTATCAACACTGGTGGCAGCCGTTTGACGGATATCACCTTTTCCAAATAACAGAAAAAATTAAGGGTCCTAATAAAGATTTCCATCACTCAAAATCAAAATTGGATGATGTCTTTTGCGCCACCTTGTACATTGTGTAGCTAGAAATAGTATTGCCTACTGCTTCGGCGCAACCGAACAACTAACTTCAAATCGGCCAAGAAATGATTGCCGAACAGTAATCCTATTATTTATTTATTCCGGGCATACCTATAAACAGCATAAGAAACTTCAAAGACCTCAGTTGGATTCTAGAATGTGACTAAGTATATTTTGTAGTTTTTCATTATGTGTCCAACATTTACCTATTGCGTTGTTATTAGTTTAAGAACGCTATTTGGCCTCGACACAATCGCCTCGTTCGTGTTAGTAGCGAAGCAAAAAAAAAACAATTTGCCCTTAAATAAAATAACACTTTATATACCTGTCAGATAATGTACTACATGATCGACCGAGTGTGAAATTAAACTTAAAATTCGTTTTTATTAATGTTTCCTTGAAAAATATAAAAAAAAGTATGTATTTCAAATGTGACTTCAATAAGGTGCGACTATGGGAGTGATGTTTTAAACAAATAAGTTATACATATGTTTTTTTATGGTGACCTTTAATACTGTGCCTACCCTGCAAGAGATGTTATTTCTTGTAAAAATGGTATTCTTTTCATTTCCAGTATAGGTTACTTGTTACAAATATTAAGTTATTTTCAAAAGAGAGTTACGGCAAGGCAACCTATATTAAAGTTAATTTATATGACTGTGATATTTTTTTAAATCAAGGCCTTCTGAGTCGTTGTAAATAATCGTATATTTGGTATTGGTTTCATTTTATACTTCAATTCAAGTTGGCATTTAACTATATGCCAACCAGTTTAATTGGCAGTAAAAAAGTCTTGATACACCTATGGCACTATGTACGTAACCACCGCATACAGCTCATACTGATAGTCAGCTTAGAACAAAGGACCATTTCTGTCACGCACACACCATCCCCTCTTAAACGAAGAATAAGCTTGGATTGTTTACTCCATGTTTTATTTCTGTTCATTGAATGACAAATAACATTTGAGTGATATGAACAGAACATGGCGTAACTAGTCTAAGGTTATTCCTCGGTTATTAATAAAGAGGGGAAGTTTACAGGCTGCTTATTAATAATACAAACGCTGACATGGTAAGGTAAATTTAATTTAATCCGTTAGTAAGATTATCAAAAAATAATGAACACATATTTTTCTTTTATCAATGAACCAATTAATTACAGAGATAAAGCGTGTCAAAGTTTGGAAGCCGGGGCACGTGACGTCACTTCTAAGTAAATTGTACCAAGGCATTTCCATGCGACATTTCAAATCAATATAGGTATTTGATTAATCAGTGTCCAATACTTTTTGATAATCTATCTGATAAAAAAAGAAGGTTACTCATCATGCCTAATCACGCAGTTTCAAGCAGAATTTATTTGAGACTACATCGACACATGCTGCCAAAATCAATAAGTTTAGGTAATTTATTGACAGGAGCCGTCCTTCTAACTAGCTGCTTTCTGTTTTGTGCCAATTGCTTTACAGGCTGCTATTGAATTTCAATAATTTTTATTGAGGAGAAATGTTCATATTCAAAGTTGATTTCAATGGTCAGCATAAACACCACAGCAAACAAGTTCATCAAAATGTTTGCGATGACGATATTTTTAAAAGTTGATAGCAGAAAATCTGAAGCTCGTTTGATCTCTCGTTAGTATTATTATAATTAATGTTGTTTTACAAGTTTCATTTATCACGACTCCGAGGGTAATGACCTCAATTAATTAATTACACATATTAAGTGTTGCTACGCCAACTTTATATTAATAAGTCACTTAATCTGCGCACAAGATGCGTCTGCGTCGATGCTTCTGAAACATCTGCTTGTGTCAAATGTCAAGTAGTAACAGGTGTCCGTAAGATGACATTGATGTTAAATAGTTAGTTAGCGCAATTATCTTACAAATATAATGTAAGTGACTATTGCTCTTTTAGAATACTTAAAAAAACCCCGTCAAGTGCGAGTCGGACAGAGGGTACAGGTCAGTTAACTAAAGCTGGCGTGTTCAACACATTTACACGTTGCGCTTGTGTAGTGTCTGTGAATAAGCGCGACTGCATGCGCAACTTGAAAAGTCTGCCCGTCTCTCTCTCGCGCAGTCTATCTTATGAGTGAAAAGGAGATAATTATTGTTTTGCTTTTGCTACTGTTTATAAATACAGCGTGGTCTTTATTTGATAAAATCCTTCAAGATCTCGGACACAGTGATCTTGAAGGATTCTATCAACGCGCGATTTTATTGCGCCTACCATCTCCCTACCATCCAGAACTCAACCCAGTAGTCACTGTGGGGTATAATAAAAAGGGAAAGTTAATGATATAAAGAAAAAGAAAATGTTAAGTTTAGCTTGAAAACTGTCGAAGAGTATAGTGAAATTGCATCAGTGTTAGTACTGTGAACGTGCCAGCTTTAGTTAACTGACCTGTACCATCGTACTTACCATATTACAAGATGTACTAGACTGAGGTAAAAATTACCTCACCCCCACTTAATGTTAAGTATAAGTGCAGTAAAGTTGCAAATATAATGAAGCGATCCAGTCATTCCCACTTTTTCTGATCTGTACCCAATTCCCATGGAGATATAGATTCCTTACGCCGATATAATCATAACAAGCATGTTTTATCGCCCGCCTAATGGTAAGCGGCCACCACAGAACACAGAACGAGGTAAGAAGGGCCTTGTGGGCGGGGCAGGTGCGATACAGTTATGTGTGAGCAAATGCTCATAACTTGACCAAAAATTGGTTCTGATTGCGTCGTTGCTCTCTGGTGTGAACGTTAATTGGTTCAATTGTGGCGTCGCGTCGTTTGTTGGCTAAACTTTTTAGGTGGAAAAGTAGTGGGGGCGAGCCGGGGACATCGGTTCCCGTACAAACGGTCTATGATCACCCTTCTAACCTCTTTCTATATTCTGTGGAGTCCACCATAGCCTATAGACGCTTGCGGTACAAAAAATATCACTCGCGCCATTTTTATTTAATTGTAGAAAGAAGATGAATCAGAATATGAATAATTGAGGGTTAGACCAGTTTTGCGTTGACAGCCTCAATTTACTTTGCCTGCCAAAGGTGCACTGACCCTATTGCATTATTTTCCACGGACGTTATACAAAACACCCAAGTATTCCTGTATCCGAATTGAATACAAATTCGGCTTAAACAAACGCGATATCTCGACGTTGGACATAGTACATGTATAGTTTAAATCTCCAGATAATATTACTATGTCCATCGCATACAAATTAAGGCTTCGTCATCGAGTTAGTAACACGCATGATGCTCTCACGCGCACACAAAATTAACATCCAGTTATAATATACTTAAAGCTTTACATGAACATTGAATATTTAAGACAAAATTTGACTATTCAATGTAAGTAATTTATTTGTGAGACACAAGAATGGCTTAAAATTATTTACAGTAGGTAAAATAAGAAACGAAGTCTAGAGCGACCAAGATAAAAGCGGGCAAGTGTGAGTCAGATTCGCAAACCACAATATGTATGGAGTAACTTCAAACGTAATAGTATATTGTAGTTAAGTCAGAACCCGGACTATGTTGTTAATGACTTAATCCAGAGGTTAATAATTTTAATGCTTGCCAAAGTTAGTTGAATTAATAACTTTAACATCATGAAATATCTATGTTTACCGTCGTTTGGAAAAAACAGTGCACAAACCACCATTTAAAACCACTCTGTACCATTTTGTTACTCCGATTCGCCTTTAAAGTGGTTCATCATGTATGACTCTCTGCTCTTTTTTTATACTTTTGCACAACAAAGGGACAAAATGGAACAAAAGCAACATAAAATTAGAGCGTGATTCATTTCAACTGCGATCTTTGTTATCATCGTAACAATATTGCGTTGCGTCAAACTGAGCCTCGAGCTTGTTGCGCCTGATAAGAAGTCGGGACAAGTCGCAGCCTGCTCGCTTCGGTTGAAACAAGTCGTTGGAAATTTCAGGAAATTACCACATACAAAAAGTGCGATTGTAACTTAATGGTGGCTGTGAAATAAGCGCAAGTCGCGGCGAAGCATACGAGGGTACTGATGTAAATGCGTGCGGGACTGGACTAAAACAGAGCATAGTTGCGCTTATTTTTTATTAGCTTCAAAACCGCCAATCGCATTATGACCTGCGCAAAGCCATTGCCTCGTCTACGCAGAACGAAATCCCAGAAACGTGAAAAAATTACCGCCGAGGACTTGTAATAGTAACCGACTCAGCGTACATACACGGTTTGCGAACATTTGCTGCCCGAAAATTACAGAAGCGCACGCAATGGAAGTAAACATTCTCAGATTACGTTGTGTTTAATAAACACGAAGTTAAAGAAAAAGAGAGACGTTTCAATAATACTGGGTACATCTCTATAAATCAGATCGAGCGCGCATCGCGGACTGACTGAAGTTCGCTGTGTTGCGCCACGGTAATATTTGCGCTTCACATGAGTTCTGTCACAGAATAAAAATCTCTGGACTTTTAATTCCTCGTGTGCGTTACTCGATG